CTACCAACATCATGGACATGTAAACTGCATTAAGGCGGCGGATGCACGCACACACACACACACACCGCCGTATCTTTCATAGTTCGACTGCCTATGATAATCCCGACCTTGGTTTTAGGTGACCTCAGAAAAGGGTTCTTTGCAGTCGGCGAACAAGGTGTATGCCCCTCTCCCAACACTCCATCTTGTCGACTTTTTCCTGCTAGAACCATGTGATAACTGAACGTGCATCATCATCATCATCATCATCATCATCATCAGTTTGCCTACCCTCAGATGCATCGATATTAGTGGTCACAGGATGAATCACGATATGCACCTGATGCGGTTCGTCGGTCGGTCGGTCGGTCGTTCAAATCTGGAATGAGTCACGATTTATAGTAGTACTTACCAATCTGGAGCTCACGTGTTGGACCCGAGGAGAGCAATGCAATTAAAATCTTCCCTACATGTGTAAAATGGATTTTGTTTCAAATGCATCTGTATTCTTGTGCTGATATTTTGCAGTCATGACTTGGTTTAGTCTAACAAGATCGTCTCGTACGCATACACACAGACACACACACAGAGGTCTGGGTTTGCGTTGTACACTACCGCCAAATCTGATGGTGAGCAGCGTTACTGTTGTCCGGTTAAATACTTGAAGTTCGTGATCTCTAGTTCCTCGGGCTTAGGTTAACGGTTTCCGTCACTGAATTGGAGATCTACGTGACTGTAAGATTCACCCCATCTACTGTTCATCAATGTGTGACTCAGTGATTCCGGATATTCGAACTGGACCTCACATTGTACTGGTCGAATATCTGATGTAGTTGATTTTTAGCACAAGAACTACAACCCCCTTGTGAACACGCATGCAAAAGAAATTCATGGTTTTAGAACGTTAGGTATGGTGAATGAGTGGCTTCTCGGGAATATAAATTATTATTCAGGTGTTTGATTATTCTCCTACTTGACAGCGAAAATATTGTCCCCTTCTCTGCTTTAATTGGCTGATTATTGCTCACCGTAGTTAATAAATCAATGATTCGACGAATTCTGAAGAAAACCTGTCTGAGCAGTCAGCTTACATGCTACCTGGTCAATGCCATATGCCTCTGTAAGTTGGATGGGTAATTCGAATATGAGAAGATCAGTACTTTAATGGTGTAGCCTCGTAGCTCAGCTGGTGGGAAGCGTGCGCTGTACAAAAGCGTAAGCGGTGTCCTTGCGTGGGGTCGAATCCCATCGAGGCTACGAAACTTTTCACACTCGCCATACAAAAATTCAAATCTGCAAACAACTTGAAAAATCAACGATCGGCTTTAATTCGAGTCAAAGTTAGTCACTCTCTCTCTGGTTGTCTAACCCCGGTTGGGGAGACTCACCGTTGCTTTCTGTGCGAACTTTGATCTGCGCTGCGACTCCGACTCCGTAGCTAGTTCGTGCGGCCAGCGAGATGTGATAGGTCGTGTTCGGAGTCAAGTTGTCCAGCACATAGCTGTTCAATGTGGGTGCGATCGCATGCTCGTTCGGTTTTGTCGGCACACTGTCCGATTGGGCGCCCCGATAGCGCAAAAAATAGTCTTGCAACGGCACAGATTTGGGCATTTCCGGCATGGTCCAGTTCAGAAAAATCCTATCCGGGGTGAGACTGAATCCGCGGAAATTGGTCGGTTGCGAGGGGACTGGATCCGGACGAGCACGATTCGTTTGTTTGATATTTTCATGTGCGTGAGGAGTGGTGAAAAATCGGATGGAATAGGTGCGTATTTTTGTTGTGTTTTACAGGAGCGCATTACGGGCAAGGGAGGAGACAAAACGACGGAAATGATCATTAGCGAAGCACGAAATCTGTATGGATATATATACATATATATATTTATATATAGGTGAATCAAATAAACAGCTGGAAAATGTGAGGAAGTCCATGTCCATAAGCCCCCGATTAGGCGAATGA